TGAGGATTTTATTGCTTCAATTAATTGTTGAAGAGCATAACTGTGACTCTCTGTTGAAATAGAACAAAATAAACAATAAATTGTATTATTTGAAAGAGATGTTCTATCTTAATATAAGTATAATTATTATAAGACATTACTTCTTGAATAGCTTTATTTATTTTATTACTCTATTTTTTGATTTGATTTAATTTTTCATCATTTTGAAGAACATAACCAAATCAAAATTAAAAAGAGCCTCACCTTATAATCACATATCAATATCTTCTTTCGATGACATATTTAAAGAGACCTTATAAAAGAATATTAGTTTGTCATTATAATAATAAACTTATTTATAAGCATCAATACAACTTATTCTTTTTGTCTGAGAAATAATTTTACAAAATGAAGTTTTTAATGAACTAGAACACTTTGCAATATATTATTATAAAAACTCCTGTAACTTATATCATCTAGGTTCAATGATAAAGCAGTTTAATAAAGTATGATAACCTCTTACACATGTAGTAGTTCCTTTTTCTAACCAAATAAACCCAGTTTTAATATATTGATATACAATAATCTTATCAGAGATAATTTGATATACCATATCTGTTATGTTTGGAATTTGAAGTGAGTTGGTTCTTGTATGTCTAATTGAACCTATCAATATTCCAATGAATATTATACGTCATCTAATCGTTAATTCTATTTTATATGTTATTATTTATAAAGAAAAATTTAATAGAAATTATTTTCAAAAAACTAATGATTTAGAACATTGGTACCATATCACCAAATGATCTTCTAAAGAAATTACAACTCTTTGGATCCATTCTGCAAGTAACATCAAGTACTCTTCTATACTTATCCATAACATGATAATTTCTTTCAAACTTTTTAGCCATACCTTTAACAGTTTGTTTAACCATTTTACCTTCAATACGTTTTTCAAGGTTTTTCTTCAAATTAGCTTGTTTTTTATTGTATCTTTTAACAATTTTCTTTGATTCATATTTAACTTTAGAACGCATTTTATTGGCAATTTTTTTACAAACCTTTTTAGTAATTCTTAAATGTTTGCATGTTCTTTTAATTTCTTTAGCAACAGCACGTTGGAATTTTTTAGCGTTATATTTATGGTCATGTTTTAATACATTAATTTTTGAGTCAATAATATTCATTGCTTTAATAACTCTTTTTTCATTAGCAATAGCCATTTTTTCTTTATAAATCTTTTTAATAGCTGCTTTAACCTTTTTAGCATTATCAAGTTTTCTTAAAATCATATTTTGTTTAACTGCACGAGAAACAATTGCTTTTCTAATTTCTTTTGATTTATCAATAACAGTTTTTAATTCTGCTGTTAATTGAACTTTTTGTTTAGCGTCTTGTGTTTGTCTAAGTTTATAAATTAATTGAATAATTTTATTCTTTAAAATCTTAAACATTTGTTTTTGATTAGCAATACGTTTTTCTGCTGCAATAATTCTCTTTTTATATGATGACATTGTCTTAACATGTAATCTTTTCATCATAGCTCTTCTTAATTCTCGTGCTCTTTGTTTACGTGCAAATCTTCTTCTATGCATTTCTCTTAATCTTTGCATTCTTCTTCTTTTAACCTCTTGTTGTCTTCTCCATCTTCTCATTTGTCTCTTCCAATTTCTCATCCAATGTCTTCTTAACCACCAATTTCTATAATGCCAAAAATGTCTATGTCTTCTTCTTCTACGTCGTTCTTCATCATCTTCATCGTCTTCTAATTCATATTCTCCATCTTCATCGTCGTCTTCTTCTTCTAAGTCATATTCATCATCTCCATTGTCATCATCTTCTGCTTCAATGACTTCTTCTTCATTATCATTTTCATCAACACCATTATTATTTTCTAGTTCATATGCATTTTCTAGTTCAACTTCACTTTCTTCTGCATAAGAAAATGAAATGAACATCGCCAATAACACTAAAAGAAGTACTTTCATATTATTACAAATAATATGATTTTAGTTCTTCGATTGTTTTTTAGTTCCTTTTTATTTTTTTTTTCTTTTTTATATTTGATAAAAATCAATATTTTTGTTTCAAAGTATTTTCATTAATCATTAATACTGTTTTTTAAAACAAATTTTATTATTTTTCTTCTTTGACTATAGAAATAACTTTTTTAGTTTATTTTATGAAAATTTTCATTTGATAACTTTTGTCTTTATTTTTTGAAAAGGTTTTTTAAATCTAATCTTGATGTAAAAGTTTCTTTAAGATAAAAATTGAAAAAGAAAAGAAAAGACAATGACTATAAAAAGAAGATATAAACCATCTTTTAAATTAAATTAAATCAAAACATTTTATCATTTTATGTGGCTTTACAAATTACAACAAAATGCACTTTCCTGATTTTGAATTTCCTTTTTTATTTCCACCAGTTCCTTTTAATTCAGTTTGCATATTTTCAAATGCTTCTTTAACTCCTTCTCCTGTCTTAGCACTAACTTCAAAAAAGACTATCTTTTTTTCTTTTGCAAATTTTTGTCCTTGTTCTGTACTTACAATTTTTTCACAATCTTTTTTATTGCTTAGAAGATAAATGATAGGCTTCTTTCCTTTCGTATATGTAGTGATATCATCAAAAAATCCCCTTAAATCTTCAAATGATGTCTTATCATCTTGTGCATATACTAAAAACACTCCATGACACGACCTATAATATGATGATGTTACTGTACGATAGACTTCTTGTCCTGCTGTATCATTCAGATTAAATACATAGATTTGATTCCCCTCTGTAACTGTATGTTGTTGTGACTCAGGAATAGTACTTGGAAGTTCTTCATGAAACTTTCCTTCCTATTTAAATTAATACTTTCTTCTTATTTTCTTTTTATATTTTCTTTTTCTTGTTTTGTTTTCTTCATTTCTTTTTTATTAATAAGAACAAACTATCATTTGATATATGAGAGACGTCTTACCAACAGATGGATCTCCTGTAAAAACTATTTTAAACTCTGTTGTCATTTTATCGCTACATGTTGATTATTTCTCTTTTTCTTTAGAAATGATAACCTTTTTGTTTTCACTTCTTTTTAAAAACATTTTACCTTAAAAACAACAATCAAACCCTTCATATAAACTAGACTCCTTCGACATGAAAGTTCTTTTCTATTTTGTCAGATCTTCTCTATTTTCTTTTTTTCCTTTTTCTTCATATTTCTACTTTTTTATTATTCTTTTTACTATTTCCTTCTTCCTTTTTCTAGTTCATCCTTTCTATTTTTGTTTACTTTATTTTTACTTCCTTCTCTTTTTTATGTTATTCAAATAACAAAAATATTAAATTCTAAAAATCAATTTTTTCTTGTAAATCTTTTCATAAAATCATCATCAGTTGAGGAATTTTTAACAATAGTGTTTGCTTCTTGTTTCATTTCTTTTTTAAGTTGTTCTTTCTTTTCTTCATTAGGAATAGAATTTTCTTCTTTTGCTTTGAGTTGTTGTTCAATAGAAGGTTTAGTTGGAATATCAAATGTTTCTGTTATAGCAGAAGAAGGTACTTGAGAAGATGTTTCTTTAATTTCTTGACTTTTTGTGATAGACCTTTTAACAGAATGAGCAAATTTAGTAGGTATTTCAGACCTCTTTTTAATTGAAGCATCAACAATTAAATCTTTTCCTGAATTAACAATACTCAAAAAAGAATTTAGTGGGGTGGATATATCAACAGGACAATCTCTTTTAACATTCATTCCAACATAATAAAAGTACTTTTCATTTTCTTCATCTAAAAATCCATTTGGAATTACATTTGCTTCAATTATCTCTTCAATTTCACTCAAACCCTTCATTAGATTAACTAAACCTGATTCAAATTTACCAATTGTAGTTGTAAGTCCTTCTAATGAAGAAGAAGTTACAATAAATTCAATAAAAATATAATACCCACAGAAAAGATGTCTTGGTTTAAACAACTTTGCCCAATCATTAACACCTTCAGAGCTAAATTCATGAACTATTTCTTGTCCTCTTTTTAACTCTCTTTTAATCATTTCTAATGAGAATTTAGTAATACTAAATGCAGCATTTTCACTAGGAGATGCTGGTGTTAAAATTTGAATAACACCTTCTTTCTTTTTATCATTAAAATCATCATTAGTACCAAGCATAACTGGAGTTCTTAACCAATCCCATGAAGAATATACTTGAAAAAATTTTTCTAACAAACGAACATTATCTAATTGATAATTTTCACTAATAACTTGGGCAACTAATATTTCTATTGAAATACCATTTAAAAAACAATAAACATATCCATATATTCCTCTCTTTTTTGTCCATAATTTAATAGTACGTACCATTACTCTAAATGCTTCTTCAGAATGGTTTGGAACAAATGCATCAATAATATCTGTATTTCTAACACCATTAATCGCACGAGTATCAAGTTCATCCATATTTTTTAATATATTTTCATTCAGAATGTCTAAATTATCAGGTAATGAAGTATATGCTGTTCTTGAAAAATTTAAATCAAATTCAATGTTAAGATAAATCATTGATAAATGTGGTGATCGTTTTGATGGAATTTGTTTTAGTTCTTTTACGTCAGGATTGTTTAATAACTCAGCATATAATCCATCATAAAAATCATCTCTTGTAATTGTTGAATTAGATACAATACATGCATCAATATCTGAATTATTTCCATATACATTTAATCTATAAGAACCATAAACATAAATTGTTGCAGCTTTTACATCAGTGTCATCAGCAACTCCTGCACTTTCAATATATATTTTTTTCCCCCATTGTTGAATGTACTCAGTCATTTTAGAGATTGCTTTTCTTTTCTTTTCAACCTGATCTCCCATAGGATACATATCATTCTTAACCAAAAATTCTTTTAATTCACATGCCATAATTATTTCTTTTTTGAAAGTTCTTTTTTCATTTTCTTTTGAAAAACAAAAAAATCAAAAATTATTTTTGAAATATACAACAAAAAAAAAAATTTAATATCAAAATTAATTTGATTCTAATGAAGTAATTGCCATTTGTAACATTCCTTCATATGTTTCATTACATGCTAAAAATCCAGAAGAATGACAAAATATACTTCCTTTTATTCCACATACATCTTCTAATTCTTTATTTCTTAATCCCCTCCATTGTTCTGGGAAATTTTTAAGACAACCATAACTAAATGGTTTAGAAACAGCAGTACATTTCCATTGAGTTCCTCTTCCAAGGTCAGGTTGTAAAACATATAAAACTTCACATTTCTTTCCAGTTTTAGATTCTTCAATTATTTCTAATAAATTTAATGATTCTTTCCATGGAACCGCTTGTGTATTTACCAAGATTTTTCCTGATGGATGAACAGAATAACGTGTTTCAAAACATTGTTGAAGAGAAGGTAAATGTTGTGATACAATTTGGTAACAAGTTAATACTGCTTCAATAAATTCTGGTTGAACTAATTCTTGTGCTTTTTCAAATGGTTGTTTTATTTCATTTAAATGAGCTACACGAGCAGAGAGAGTAGTGTTATCTTTATATAATAATTCTCCATAAGAAACATCAATACCATTATCATTAGCGTCAATTGGCATAACAAAATAATTATAAACAAGAACCTTTAATTTCTCTGCTACATCTTCTGTGATAATTTCATGTTTATATTCTTCAATAATATTTTTTACAATTTCATTTCCATAATGTTTAAATAATAATCCACAACCACATAATAAAATATTATGTGCTGATGAAAAAGTTTCTTTAAATCCACGTTGGTGATGGTCATATCGTTTGAGTTTATGGTTATAAACTCCACCAATATCAAAAACCAAAGTACATTTATTTAAAATATCCATATCTAATGTTCTAATTAATTTACAATCCTTGAATTCTTTAACGAATTTTAACATAATAGTACCAGTAACATCATCACAATGGTAATTACTAGCATGTACTCCAATCATCTTAATCAATTAATCATTTATTAGTATATTATTTATTTTAGTTTATTTTATTATATTTTATAATAAAAATATTAAATATAAAAAACAAAAAAAAAACATTGCTCATTTAACTTAAAAGAACACCAAGAATAATAGCTATTATGGCAATAATTACGACTACTACTAAAATACCTACGACTATACCAATAATTAACCATTTTCTACTAGCACAACTATAAGCACGTGCTTCTTGTAATTGTGCATTTGTATTACTAACATCAGTGGCCATTGCATCAGCATCTTGACCTGCTCTATCTATTTGTTCATTTTGTTTTTTTATGTCAGCATTTTCCATTTGCGCTATTTGTTTTCCAACCATGGCAACATCACGTAACTCACGGGCATTTTCATTTTCTTCTTTTGCAATTTTGTCTGTCATAGTTTGTTGTTTAAATTCTATGAATTAACTTATTTGAATATACTAATAAGAAAAATTATTTCAAACCTTCACTTTCAGACATCGTAAATTCCTCTCTTTTTTAGTTCTTTTTTTACATTTTCTTATAAAAAAATTTAATCTGCTAATTTAATTTCTTTCATTCTTTTTTCTTCTATTTGAATTGAACTTAAACCCAACCAAAAAATTTCATAACAATAAAATTCTTTTTTCCATTTCAAAGAGTTATTTATTAATTAAAAATGTTATTGATTCTTCTAATAAAAAAAAAGAAATCAATTATGATTAACCTTATTTTTTAGGTTTTTCATCATGTTGAGAAGTGAGCGAATCAGTTTCTTCAACACGCTTTATTTCTATTGAAATAAAGTTTTTGCAAGCATGCTCGACTTAAATGGTTCCTCAATTAAGTTGCTGCCTGACTTTTATTTTGATTTTAATGAGTAATATAATATTTCTCATTCTTTATATTGTTGTTTTAAGGAGAGTATATCCATAACTTACTGTTATAGCTCATCTCCTTTTACCTTCGACACCCCTTAAAGAAACCCTATTCCTTGATAATATCCTTATGTTTAATTTTTGTGCAACAGTATCAATTATATATGCGTCTTCTTTAATAAATGATAATTCTTAATAAATAATACCTCCTTAGTTAATAATAATTCTTAGTTAATAATAATTCTTAATAAACAATAATCCTTATGAATAATAATATTACATAATAACATATTAATAATTATAAACAGTTAGTTTTGAACAGATATTATCTCACCAAAGGCACATCATGACCAGACGATAACTGGGAGATTCGAAGCGTGTGAATATTTTAGGGTTTCATGTGGTGTCTCTGACGTGCCATCTTCGAATAAATGTTATTGATTCTTCTAATAAATTAAATTAAATAAAAAAAAAAAGAGAATAAAAGAATGTAATAAATTTATTTGTAAATTATTAATTACTTTCTTCATCATCTGAACTAATTGGTTTTAATGTTCTTTTCTTTGTTTTTTGTTCAATAGGTTTTGCTTTAACTTTAAAGAAATTATCTAAACTGACTTTAGATTTCTTTGATGAGGTAGTTGAATTAATTTGAGAATTTGTTTCAGACTTTTTTGATACATTAAAGAAAGCAGTAAGTTTTTTTTGAGATTTACCACTTGTTATTATATCATTTTCTTTTTTTAATGTATCAGGTTGTTGTGGTTTTTTAGTTTCAGGAATTTCTGATACTTTAATAATTGAATTAACTATTTTCTTTTCTACTTCTTTTGGTTTTTCTTTATTTAATAAATCTGATTTAAATGTATGTGTTGTTGTTATAACCTTCGGTGCTATAACAGCTTCTGACTTTCCTGATTTAAAATAATTTGTCATTGATTGGTTTAATTCTTCTTTAAAATCATTATTATAAAGCATATAACATTCTCCATTATTTGTAATATGCCATTCTTTTTCATTTTCTTCAATTCCAACTTCCCAACTTTCAATTTTATGTTGTTTTTGGTATTGTTTTAATTCACTATTATGTTGATTGTTTCTTTTATCAAAAAAGTATTATTAAAATATTATTAAAATATTATTATTTTGTATTTTGTTTTTTTTTAATTAAAATAAATTAAAACAAACTTTTGTGCTTGTTTTGCTGTTGTATTTTCAAATTTAAGAATTATATCCATATAAGTAACTGTTCCATTTTGACCTTCAATGTTCTTTTTGATAAACTCTTGTATACAACTCATAGTGATAACAAAAAAAAAGTTTTTTTTTAAATACTTTTTATTAATAGTAAATTTATTATTAAAAAATTATTATTAATTTTTTTTAAAAGAAAAATGAATAACAAAATTAAATAACAATTTAATATTTCATCCCTAATTCATTCAAATGAGATTGAATTTCTCTCAGAGATATTGGAGTATTGAACACAATTGGTAGAGCAAGTGGATGAGCCATTTGTTCAGTAATATCTAATATAGCCTTAGTAGTAGAAGAAAATTCTCGAACAGAAGCAAAGTCTATTTGAGAAGTTTGTAGTTCATATTGAAATAATTGGTCAATAACTCTTTCATTTTTTAATAGTAATGAACGAAGAGAGTCAAGACAGTTTGAAGGAACAGAGGTAAAATGAAGTTGGAGTAAAGATGTGTTTAAAGGTAATTGAGGGGATTGAGGGATTAGTACAGAAATTTTTTTAGTTTTGTAGTCATTAATATCATTTGTTCGTTTATTTTCTTGAATATATTCACTCATTTTAATTGGTAAAGACTGTTTAGTACGAGGAACATTTATTCCAGACTTTGAACGAGTTAGTGATTGTTGAGTTAGTTCAGATTTAATTGTTCCTTCTGGACTAACTTGAGGAGTAAATGATAAGTCTTTATTCTGGAGAGGAGAAGCATGAGGACTGTCTCCAACAGTACCTAAAGAAGAGTTCTCTCTTGAATCTCTACTTTGTTTTTCTTTAGACTTAGAGCGACTTCTACCTCTTTTTCTTTTTAATTGACAGTCATCATTTTCACTTGAAGAAGAACGAGGTGAATATGATTCCATTCTTTTTTGTTTATTTAATTTATGTTCACAATAGAAATCTTTCCATGTTAATGTTGGATTAGTTTGTAATTGTTTATAATATTCTAGTCGAGCAGATACATCTCGTAATCGTTTTCTAGGTAATTTTGTTAATAATAACGTTAATCTTTTAAATTCAGAATAATCTCCTTCTGGAAAACTTTTTAAATTATGGTTTAACGTTTGAATTTCTTCTTCGGTCCATTCGACAATACCATCTTTTTCATGTGAAGTATCGTCTATATTCATTTTTGATTATATGATTTAACAATTAAGATTTTTCTTTTTTTTTTTTATGGATTTTTGGAGATCGAAGGTGGCACGTCTGAAACACCACACATAAACCCTAGTACAAATTCATTCTTCGACTCTCCCAGTTATTATCTGGTTATGATGGTGCTTTTGAATTAGGAATGTATTAGGGAATGCTGCAAAGGGTGCAGCAAGAGAATACAGTAGAATATTACATGGATGTAATATAAGAATCTACTGAAGTGTGGGTATGACTAAAAGAAGATTAGTCAAAGTAAGACTAAAAAGAAGATTAGTCAAAGTAATATAGTAGTAATAAAATGATTCCTTCTCCCATTCATAAAATAAGAAAAATGAAATTCCTTAAAATTAAGGCAGAAAACAAACAAAGGCTTAAAAAGAAGAAATAAGCAGAAGAAGTTTGAAAAACTTTAATAAGAAGAAATAAAAGAAAGAAGTGCTTTCCTCATTTTGCAAGACAAACCTAAATGATAGGTTCAACAAAGAGATTACTCTTTTTTAATAAGCTCAGGGATGGGATTAGTCTCCCCTGAGCTAGGAAGAATAGATGAAAATTCTATTAATACTTAATTAACTAATTTATATATTTTTTATGAATTATTTTTATTTCCTTTTTTTTCATTTTTTTTTTTTAAATGATTTTTTTGGAGCTTTTTTTACTTCAAATAATAAACTAATATTTTCCTTCTTTTTTTCATTTCATTCCTTTTTTTTTATTGTTGTTGATGTGACACTGGGTTATAAGATTAATAAATTACTTTAGTATTACAACAAAACGAAGAATCAATGAATTGAATCAACACTTTCATAACTATTTTTATTATTTAATATTTTGTAATTATTTTTTTTTTCAAAATCTTAAAAGATTTGAAATGAGAGTTTTTATTAAAAGCAAAACTTAAAAAGAAAGATAAATCACGAAAACAATGGAATTAAATCAACAATGTGAAAATAAAGTAAATGAATTGCAAACCCAATTAAATGAGTTACAAAAAAATAATCAAATTACTATTCAAGTACTACATCAATTAGATATTGAAAGAGAAAATTTAAGTAGTAAACAACAAGAACAACAAAAGGAATTATTAGAGTGTCGTAAGATTTATTTTAATTACTTATGTAAAGAGTTTGGATTAAAAGAAGAAGATCATAATAGATTTTATGAGTATTGTTTAAAACTTCCTCCACAACAATGGAAACAGTTTGTTATTGAAAATAAATAATAGTTAATTACTTCTTTTAATTTCTTTTGGTAATTCTTTCAAACTAATACAACCACTAAAACAATGATAACCTATAAATTGTAATGCAGTAGGTTGATTAATTTCTTTTAAAGAAACACAATCAAGAAAAGCTTCAGCACCAATTGATAATAAATTTTTTGAAAAATAAACAGTTTTAAGACTATTACAATTTTCAAATGCATTATTATTAATTGATGTAACAGTGTCAGGCATAATAACTACTTGAATATTACTTCCATTAAATGCTTTATATCCAATATCAGTTATTCCTTCAGGTATTTGACCACCATAACGAATTCTATCCAATCCATTAAATACAACTTTTTTAAACTCAATTCTGTTTCCATGAACTTCATGATAATAAGAATAACTTACTTCACAATGATAAATATATTTTTTCATTCCAAAAACATGTTCTTCTTCATAATGATAAAGATGTTGTATACAAATATTAGGAAATATTACTTTCATATCTT